TACTTCGAAATACTAAACATAAATTCTCGACTATCCTATATATACAGGTCAAAATATTCAATGAATAAAATACGAATGTTCTTCGAAGAAATTAGTCGAGTAAGTATCTTTTCCTTAATATTTACTATGTAATTTCCTAGAATTTAAAAAAATTGCAATTAATTATAAGTCAAAATTGATAAAATAAATATTACAATGATGATATCGTAATCATTCATATAAATAGTCCAGTAAAGATACGATGACAGATTTTAATAATTGTGTTATGCAATAAAAGTTTCGACTTACTCCCTCTCTCTATCCCTCAAAACTTGTTACAGACATGAACAATGTATCGTATTATACAACTTAGCAACTTCCCCCCTTTCATTTCAGATAGCTTAGCAACGCGTCACGCAGATCGTGATAAAAACAATCGCAAAAGCAAAATGAATTGCGTATGTTAATGAATTATTCAACAACAAACTTATAAATATATAGACAGACTATAACAATCTAGATTGAATAGACTAAAGGAGAATACATAACAATATCATTAGTTCTTTGTTACTTAATTAGAATTTTATATATTTTAGATAGAATTTTATTAATAAGCAACATATGGGTTTTTCTCGTCTATCAATTTGTATTTTATCCTGTAAAATAATATCATTAATATGTTTAATTATATCTATTTATTCTTATCATTGGTTTCAAATTGATAATTATTCAGTAAACGAACAATTAATTCAAGATTTATGTACTTCATATGGAGCATTTTGTAATATAAATGAACAAATGCCATTACCTCGTTTAGTTATTATTTTACCTTGTCTACTTTCTACTATTGGTCTTTTATTAGAAATTATTAATCTTTGTCTATTATGTTCAATTCAATATCGTATTCGTACAATTTTAAATTTTTTTCTTGGTAAATTTAAAAGAAATTCTTTTTTTTTAATTTTTTTTTTGATTTACAATTTAGAACAAACGAGTATTGCTTTATCGTTTGCTATTACAATTCATTGTACTTGGGTTAGTGCTGTTCATATTCGTATAGCAATTGAAATCGATGAAGTTCATCTTAATTGGACATTTTTTGCATTTGGATTTGTTACTATTCTTTTTCCTATTGATTGTATTTGTTCAATTACTCGAATGGTAAATTTAAAATTTTTGTTCATAGATAATTTATTTAATTTTCTAAAAATATTTAGATGAATAATTGTCAATATGAACAAAGAGGTCAAGTAAAAAAACATACTATACAAATTTGTAAATGTCTACGTAAATCAGTCGTTGATAATGATATTTAAAAATTATCAAAGATATTTAATATACTTTTATATTCTTCCTTTTTTTGATCATTATTTTTCAAAGTATTTTATTTAATAAACAGAAAAAAACGACAATCAATATAGTAAATTATAAACAAATATTGCGACTGGTTGTTATGGTATTATTTGTACTAAAATAGGATATCTTATAAGATCATGGGAAGTGATTAAAATTGTATTAAACGCTAAAAGATAAAAACGAGATTTTACTCAATAAAAAATGATTATCTTTCATTGATGTTTTTTGTAATCTGATACTTATCTAAAAAAAGATATATAATAGAATCTTTGTTATAAATAATAACAAAAGCAAATCTTAATCGATCATATACAAATATAGCCAAACCATAAAAAGATGCATTCACCATTATTGAATAGTTATATTTTTATTTGTAAATTAATGATATGTATTACAGTGCTTATAGCATTGCATTCTCATCATTGGATGCAAGACGATGATGGAAGAAATCATCACGGTTTGAATATATAATTTTTTTTCTTTCCATTTTTAATTGGAATACCTTATTCTATTAATATAGGACTTAAAAAAAGGTGCTATGAATACGGCAGTAGATGCTATGAAGATAACCATATTCAACGAAAAATCTGGCTTTATCTTATAATTCCTATACTTAATGTTGTAATTGAATCATCAAATATTCTTCTTCTCTTATGTACGCGAAGTCGATCTCGTATTAATTTAATTTTAGGTAAGTTTTAGAAAAATAATATATTAATAATTCTCTTATTTTTCAGAAGAAATCACGCTTGTAACAAGTCTGGTATTTATAGTACCAAATGTTTTTATTGTCCTCGCGATTTGTGTATATGCTCATAGTAGATATGAAGAAATAGATTGGTCAATGAAAATATATCTCATATCAGTAATATTGTGTCTTATTGATTTCGTATGTTCAATAGTTCGTGTGGTAAATATTCTTAAAACAATAATAATTAATGACATTTTTTAATTCTTTTAAGGTGTCATATTGTCGTCATAATTCCTTTCGTTCACATCCAGTAAAATATACATCAAATAGTAATCATGAAACAATTAATATTCAATCCGAATAATACTATCATTGCTTTTTCTATTTCTTTTTTTATCTTGAAAACTCCATCATGTAGTTGATAAAATGTAAAAAAATATAAATACAAGAAAAGAAAAAAGTAAAAATCTATTTTCTATAAACAGATAATGATTAATAATAAATATAAAAAAACTTGTGAATAATTTATCATTCGTTTGGTGTTGTCTGAGGTTTTAAAAATATCTCAGCGTAAGATGGAGGCATTGCTGAATAGACAGATGGAGTTATAGTAGACAAAGGTTGATGAGTATTTGTTGTTGTACGAACAGGTAATTGGAATGGGATTTGTTGTCTTCGTGTTTGACCAATTGAACTGTCATAAGATGGTGGTGATTGTTCGAGTACAGGTGGTGGTTCACGGGAACGACGTTGTTGTTGTTCGTAACGATTTGCACGTGTAACATCGATTACATAAGCATCATGAAGTTGTCGTTCAGATCGATGTTCATATTCATATGATGAAGAACTATCTATAAAAAATAAAAGATTTTTATTCCATCTCAATGATTTTTAAGTATTTCAACTAAAAGAAACGTAATCTACTATTATATTATTAAAAATCATACTTCTTTGATGTTGTAATTTTCGATCTCTTTTTCGATGGGCACAATAGGCAATTGCACAAATACTAGTAGCAATGACTGCAGGAATAATTACGCATATTGAACTTAAGAAAAGAAACTTTTTGATGTAAATATTTTGTTTCAAAAAAAGATTCTTATTACTTACATAATTAATGCTGTAGTATCTATTTCACCATTCGACATATTAATACTTTATTAGTAAATAGTTGTTATCTACATACGAAATACATGAAGTATCTAAAATTAACAATAAATATGTTTGAATAAGAGGGAGAAAAAAAGAGCAGAGTATCATTGAGAGTCATAAAAAAAAGGCATCAGGTCATTATCAAACGAGGCAGAGGTGTAACGGAGAAAAATGTGTGACATTGTATAAGAATTTTTTTATACAGAGGCCTACCTCAATTTCTTCATTTTTTTTCTTCTTCTTCGTCTTGTATGGTAAAAAAAAGTTGGCGAGGTGAAGAGTCTTACAATAGTAGCAAGGCCAAAAGGTAATCATCAGCCATTTACAGGCTTGTATACACATGTATTTATAAAAGTACAGAACATGTTCCGTTCTTTTTCTTTCCCCTTGTGCACTTTTTTTTATCAACATTTCTGCTATGATTTTGTATAAAAGCGAAAAAAAAAGCTCGAATAAGACTTAGTTACCATTGCATCTTCTGACATATGACTTCGGTTTTTATATGATGTCATTCGTGAAATATTCAATGTTCATTAATAAAAAGATGAAAGTTTATATACGTGTATCTTCAGAGAAACCATTTAAGAAAGAAAGAAGAAATCTAAATGTAATATGTCGACAATGAAATCTGTAAATGAATATAGATTAAATAACAGAAGTTAATGAGTTTCTTTAGATAAATGTCAGTTTTACTTGACATTATAAACAAAATATGAAAGAATAAAAATAGACAAGCCCATACAAACCTTGTAAAAAAATTTTTTTTTGTGATTTATATAATCAAAACAGTTCGAAACTATTATAATCCTAGATAGATGTTTTGCATTTTTTTTCTCTTCATAATAATAAGATCAAACACGTAAAGAATGAAAAAACAAAACAAAAGACAGATTAGTGAGAAATAAAAAAAAGATAGATATTCTTATTCGATAGTTCATATTCGAAATAGAATAACTGAGAAAAATGTTATGATTAATAATGATTTTCTTTGAATATAATCACTAGTACCAGAACCAAATGGTAGTAGACGACGAATGTCATTCGATTGAGTGTTATTGCCTGTGCGCCATCGCTTTTAAAATGAAAAGTAAATGATTATTAGATATAATTTTTTAAATTCGATAAGAAAATTAACCTTATGTCCTGATTGTTGCATAAACTGACGAGACAATATTTCACGCATATTGTTTTGCCTTCGGTTTTGCTTGTTAGACATTGTGATTGTTGAGTTGTATTGGCTGTCGATGTTGGAGGCATTGAGCAACCCCGACTGAACTGTACTAGTTTTCCTAGATAGATATTTTTTTCAATAGAAAATAATGATTTTTGTCGGAATGTAGATTTACCGGCGACGTTTGTGGTTTTTTTGCTGTAACATATTTGTTGTTTCGATTCGCACATCGTCGTCGTTGTCTGATTGAGATTGGTTTGACAATCGCTGTTCTCCTTCTGACTTTCGCAAGAGTAACAAAGCATACCTATAGAAGGCTATAGAAGATGAACCGAGCCATGTCAAAAAAGAAAACTAGGAATTTATCAATTACCTTGTACAGGATCAAATTCAACAGATTTCTCAGGTGTACATGTATCATATTCTGATACCGATCGACTTAATATTGACATTGATTTACTTGATGATGATGCTGATAATGATGATGATTTACTCTTTGTTTTCGATGATGTACCCATATCACTTGTTATATCTTCATCTTCAACATCATCAGCATCATCTCCTGGTGAACCTGTTACGCCAGCAACGGGATTTTCATAACCTTCGACAAGTTCTTCACAATTAATCTGAAGATATTTGAAGAGTAAAATAAATATATTAGAAAAAAGAAAATAAAACAAACCTTATCTGCACCAACCCATTTACATGTTTTATCATTAGGATCAAAATATGAACCTAAAAAGAGGATTATTGATATAAGTACATACTCATTTGCTCTTGAAATGAAATTCAATGTCAATATAAGTTTTGTTCATATAAATGGCATTTTTCATTTCTTATTTATGAGACGAAAAGATGCGATTAAATATTTCAATTAAATGAATGAAAAATTTAAGCAATACATTTATTAAACGTAATCACAAGATTTAGCATTAAAATTTCTTTCCTGGATTGATAAAATGAGCAAATTATATGTAATTCATTTTTGATGATGGCAAAAGAAGTAATTCCTTTATATACTATAAACTCATTTTCTTACTTCATTATTTAATAACTCATAGTTTAAGTTTTACATAAATCGATAGTTTCTTTAATATTCAAGAAGTTTATTATTCTTACCAGCATAGCATATTTCACGTTTTTGTTCACCCCATTGACTACCTACACCTCGACATAAAAAGTAACTCTTGCAATCAGTTGGATCTGGCCATTGACCATCTTTTAATTCTTCACATACATCTTCTGGTGCTAAAGAATAAAATTTTTCGTTTTTTTTCCGCAAAAAAAACGTGTCGTACTTGGTCCTTCTGCATCACGTTTAGATTTCTTGGGTTTTTTAGTTGGTTTTTCAGTTATTTGTGGTTGAGGTTGAGAATTAGGTTTGAAATCTAAACAAAATACACTGTTTTTTATGTGTTAATCTATTCTTTATACCTTTATATTCTTTAGTTGGACAAGTTGAACACATTTTTTCTTTTGGTAGTAATTTAAGTTGTCCATGTAGGACAGCTTTAATTGTTTTTATTAAAGGAAATTTTCCTTGACAACAAAATTGTCCACGAAAATCATCCATATCAAGAGTCCATATCATAGCACCACCCAAATTATTTTGTTTTATATAATTAGCCTTTTCATTTTTAAAATTTCATATTGATCAGATAAATCTTTTATCTTACTTTATATTTCATACTTCGAACATTTTCTACACCAGCTTTCGGTTGATTATATGGGCCAGTTATAAATGGTACAAGTTGTTTAGCATCCCATGTCTCTTTCATTTTTTCACAAACAATTTGAATACAACTCTAAATATTTCAATATTTTCGAAACAGCAAGATATATCAATATATTTTTCATACTTCATAATACGCTACAAAACCACTTTCACCTTTGAATCCAGTATAAGGCATAGCTGGTGTATCACCACGTCCATATGTTCCTAAACCTAACATTATTTTATTAGCTGGCATACCCAATTTTTGATAATATTTTACAGCAAAATCCTATATTAAATAGAAATTATTTTTTCAAAAAAAAGTTCAATATTTATAATACATACAATATACATTGTATCATCTTTTTCATTATCTTTACTATTTAGTGATGAATGATGTGCTCGATTTTGATCCCATGAACCATGAAAATCATATGTCATTAAATTAAACCTTTATTTATAAGATGAAAACAAAATGATTTCAATGGTTTTATTCTTACCAATCCATTACTCTAGAAATAAATAAAATTTCGAAGATTTTCTTAACAAGAATTTACTTACGGAACAAGTTTATCGACTTCATATGCTTTATCAATATTAATTTTTGCAGCTGATACAGCAGCAGTAAGAAGAAGACGTTCATTACCACTAGCTTCTGCTTCTTTTTCAAATGTTTCATATAAAATCTTATCAAAAAAATTTATTTATTTTTCTCGTATTTATTATACTAACTTCACACATTCTTGTAAATTTTTGTTTATCTTCTTTGGGACTATCTCTCCAATCAACACCTAATTATTATTCAATAGAATCTATCTAAATTATTTTATAGAGATTAATTACCAGGATATTCAAAATCTAAACGAAAAATAAATAAAATTTATTTAAAAAAATATTTTCATTTACCAAGATCAAGACCATCGAATTTATGTTTTCGTAAATATTTTACAGCTGATTCCGCAAATTTTACCATAGTTTTTTCCGATTTGACAATACCTGTTAATTAAATTTCGATTAAAGTACTTGTATCTGTCAATATTTTACTTATCTATATATTAAGAATGATTATCCTTACCTGCAAAATCTTTCATTCCCATATCCTATATAAAACAATTTTATTAAATATTTCCAGAAAAAAAAAAATTTCCTACCCAACCACCAACAGCTAGTAGAGTTCTTAAATTTTTATTTACACTTTTCCAAGCATTAAATCGTTCAAAGAAACCTTAATAAAAATTCTTAACGTATTATACATCAAATTCATATATACCTGCTTGACTTCCATCTTTTATATCATGTTTTTCCATTGGTGTTAATTGATTATTATCCATTTCAGAAAAAGCATATATAACATGTGTACATAAACAAGGATCTATATCTTCCGGTGTCATTGAACCTCCGCCGGGACGTTTTACCGCTAGCAAAAAAAGTATCTCTTATACACAAATAAATCATTTCTTAAATATTTTACCCCAATTTGCAAAATAACATACAATTTTAAATTTTTGTTCAGCAGCATGAAGAATAGAAACTAAAACCATCAATGATATTATTAATTAGTGCAAATGAAATATACCTTTGATAAAGAATATAAATAGAAGATTTCGTGTGAGTATCATTATTGTCTAATAATCAAGATTAATATTTTAAAATAATATAAAACATCATGAAATGCGTTCGTATTTTCGATTACAATAATGATGAAACATGAACGAACACTGATTATACATTTAAACCGATCGAAATATATGACGTAAAAAGAATAAGCTTCTTTTTTTTTCTTTCGTTCGATTGTTAAGATATTGTCTCTCGGATTAATGTGATTATGTTTGTTCTGTAAATTTTCAATCCGTCTACTACTATTTTGTCGATTGTTCATGTTGTTATTCTTTTGTTTTATGAGATTAAGACTACACTTTCTTACCGATCTTTTTCTTTTTATGAATAATTAAGTACTATATACACAGATTACCGTAGTAACAACTTATTGATTTATATTTTGTTAGTTAAATAATTTTATGAAAGAATATATTGAACAATTATTTGAAGATAAAATGCCGATAAAGACAAGTAAAATTTATTTTAGTCGTTCAGTATAAAAATATTATTATTTAAGATTCTCTCACAACAAATTGTTGTAATTTCGTCATGAATAAGCAATCGATTGATTCAACAAATAAGAATCCTGTTTATCTTAAGAAACATAAAGTTTTAAATCCATTTATTGATTTGAATGAACAAAATCCACAGAGAAGTTTTACTCGCCATTAAAATCAACAAAATAAAAACAATTTTTCAATTCTTATTTCTTTCTACTATCGTGAAAAACATGTCCACGTTGTGCTAATACTTTCAAAATTTCTGCAATATTTCTGCAATCATCAATACCACTATGATGTCTGCCTGTATGTTGAATATTAAGACCATGTAACATTTCCATCATTCCAGTACGCTGTTTTTTACCTAATACTTCATTATACGGTCTTTTTATATTAATCCATTCATTAAAATATCTAGCACGTTCGAATTTAAAATAATCACATTGATTAGGTAACATTGTTTTTAAATCCCAATCACCACAAGTAACAAAAATAGATTTAACTTGTGGATCGAGAAGATTCTCCTTTTGAAGCCATGTATGAAAACGTTGAAGAACAACATCAAGTGTTGGTTGATTAGTTACCATATCTTGAGTTATACCTGTTAATTCTGTACAAAACTTTGTTAATTGAGGATGAACTGTTGGGCTAACATCTAAAGGGAAACAATAATATTTATGGAATTTTATCATTAATTTAAGTTACATGAATGAAATGTTGATTCACATTCAAATGTTCGACCATTAATTTTCAAGACAGGAAACTCAATAATTTCAGAAGGTGTAATTTTTTTTTCATCATCACATGTTGCTTCAAAATCAAGTACAAGAAAATAATCATAATTTTGAGGTTGAATAGAATTATTTAATGACACAGCCATTCTTGATTTTCAAACGTGCACAGTTAAAGAACTACTAAGTATACATAAAAGCAAGCATGCTTTTATATGAATATCATTTCTATGTTATTATGCAATAACATAAACAATAACACGCGTCATACGATGAATGAAACATGACTGTTTTAATTGTGAAATATATTTCTTTTGACAATAAATCAACTATGACGCCGTAAATTATATACTAGATTATTGAATATTCATAAATAATTAACTATTATCTAAGAAATTCTTTTTCTTTTATCACATTAAATTTTTATATTAAATAGTAGATAAATTTAGTATATCATATCGTGTGTTTTTTTGCTAATAAATCTAAGATAATTGGTGAAAATTGTATCGATTCTCTTATCTGTCTTATTAATGATTTATTATAATTAATAGGAAGTAATATAACATAACAATAGATACTTAATCTATGTCGAAAAAATAAAGCAATTATAAAGTTATTTTTTCTAATGAAAAAAAAGAAATCTTCAACTTAGACAATAAGAGA